AACTACGCACATTATATTTGAAAAATCATGCGTCAAACGTGATATCATCCCGATTGTTCTAAAGGCAGAAGCAACAATTTGTGTAACATGATATGAAAAGGCAAGATTACTATCGAAATAAACACCAAGGTCACGAACTTGTTCCACACGTTCAATAGTGGAATTGCCGATAAAATATTGATGTAAAATTCTTTCGCGTTTTCTGCACATAGATAGCACTTTAGTTTTATCTGGATTGACCAGCAAAAAGTTACATGAGCACCAGTTTGAGATACGGGATACATCTTCTTGCAAAAGAGCACAATCATCTTCCGAATGGATACTAAGATAAAGCTTAATATCGTCCGCAAATAAGAGCAGTTTCGCATTTTGTATGCACAATTCTATATCACTGATGAATATAAGAAAAAGTAGCGGCCCCAAATTCGATCCCTGAGGGACTCCCGAAGTTGGAGTAAATACATCTGAGAAACTATTCAAGATTCTTATTCTACTCTTTCTATCCGACAGATAACTACGGAATAAGTTTAAAGAGACGACGAAACGCCGTATAAAGAGAGCTTATACAAGAGTAAGTCATGATTAACCTTATCGAAGGCTTTTGATAAGTCAAAATACACAATATCAACTTGCCCACGTGTAAGAACAAATGGGACAGTATAATCAAGGAGAGAACAAAGGTTCGTTTCTACTGAACGCCCTTTTATAAATCCATGCTGAACGGTGCTTAGTTTTCGACAAAAGTAAAAAGAAAGACGGGCATGTAAAACTATCTCAAAAACCTTTGAAAAAGAACACAACAAAGAAACGGGGCGGTAGTTATCTACCCTAGACGCGTCACCGGCTTTGTGTATTGGCACTATCACTGACCTTTTCCAAAGACATGGGAAAACACCATTTCTCAGCGATAGGTTAAATATGTGCATAAGTAAAGGGGCAAACAAATCAGCGCATCCTTTAATAATAAAGTTAGGTATTGTATCATCTCCCGCTGACTTCTTCGGTTTTAATTTTTGAATTGCCTCTAAAATATCATTTATGTCGACCTCACTAAATGTGAAATTGTCGTTGCAACCAGTAGCGCAGATTGAAGACTTGCTTTTGAATTCTTCCTTGGAATAGCATTCACGAAAGTAAGTTTGGAATAAATTAGCTACTTTTTCAGGGTTTGTAACGTAGTCCGTATCAGTACGTAAATAAATATTTCTTGCAGACTCTTTCGTGTGCTTCCTGACAAATCGCCAGAATTTATCAGGCTCACGGTAGAGACTATTTTCTACCGATTTTTTATAAATGAATTTGTCGTGTTTAAACAGTTTCTTTACAAGTGCTCTGTAAACACTGAACTTTATGTACCATAACTCAATGCCGGTTCTTTTAAACAATTTATGATAGTGTTCTTTTTTACGCATGTAGTGTTTCAGCTCCCTTGAGAACCAGAACTGGTATTTAGATATTGACTCTGTCATGACACGATCTGTAAAATACATATGAAACTGCTTGTCCTAAGATTTAGCCGCACTGCTGTCTGTCACTTGTTTGTGTATGATCACAAAAATAAAAGCCCCTTTACAAAGAGGCTAAACAGTGGCTTGGTTTCTGTTTTAGCTTGTTTCAGATGCACCTGAAACATGGTGTTTATGCCTCAAAGAGTTGAACGACCATTCACCTGAAAGACAGCAAGATGAACTAAAAGTTGGTTGGGCTAGCAGTCTGCAGCTTTTAACAGCCAAAAAAGCTGCCCATCACGTGCATGCCAGGGACACCTTGTCTGCTTTTCCTCCTGGATGGTGACAAAGGCAACCCCGACCTGACATCAAGTAGAGCGGAGAAATGGCAGTTTGGTTATTCTACCCCAGGTAAGTATATAGACTGTGACACAATAAGGCTGGTTTGTACATACTCATCACAACACCCACCTATCATGTTGTAGTAGAACTACAAACCTAGTTCATACTTGTAGATTGAAGCAGGTTATAAATTTCATAAATTTTAAATTAACAAAAATCACAGAAGTGACTTATGCCTGTATGATGCGCTCGCAATGACTAGCCGAATTCTTTGGAACAAACCTGAAGTTCTTTTTTCATTTGGTTGAAAACAAATATTCGTCTTTTTATTTTCTCGGGTGGAAACATGACATGAGATTTATGCATGTACCGCTGCCGGCTGGCACGCTACCGTAGCCTGGGACCAATCTGCGAGCCGTATTACACAAAGAGGATCGTTCTGGCGTTTCGTCGAAATTGAGAGCATGGTACGTACATATTAATAACTCTGTTTGTTCTTTTTTTTCAATTTTCCTCGGAGCGTGACGGGGTAGAGGTGTCTTATATGATGTTGATGGTAAGGTAAAATATTGAATATGAAAACTAAAATCGTGTATGCCGTAAACGACAGTCTCCACAAAGCACCTACAATTGCGAAAAATAGGTTCCCTGACCTTTTGAACGTTTTTAATATACACATATTTATAGTATTTGCAACCAAGTTTAAAATTACTAACGCTTAGGGGCGTCATTGATTAAAGAGGCTTAGTTATCTAAATCTGTTTCTGTGCCAGAGTCGCGAGACAAACATTTGTATAGGATCAGTTGATAAATAATATCGCGAAAAATAACAGTAATTTTACTAAATGACATGTTGAAAATAAGAGATGGCTGGGGGAGCAGTTCAGTTTAGAGAAGGTACTTGATTAGATAAACGTATCTTGGATTCACAAAAGAGCTTCTTTCTTCTGGTGCATAAAGTCTTCAAAACCGTACTGGAACCCGTTGTGCATATTACTTTACCAGTTTGCATTTAAGAAAGCTTTGCTTGACATAACTTTCGGTGTTCATACATCTTGGAACCTTGGTGGGTGGATCCGTCCCCAACAATATTAAAGAAGCATAATGGGGAGTATTTGGTTTGCATAGTTGTTAACCTTATGTTTTTGCCTACCAAGTCGTCCCGACGGATGACTTCTGAAAACTCCATTGCCCACGCATTGACTCATGTGATTAAGGAATACATGGCTTGCATTGACGTCACGTCGGTCGCCTAATGTTCTGTACCACGCTCCTGTGTCCGGACCTTCTGCAGCATATATTTTGGCTTCATCGAATTTGCGCTTATCACCAAAGCTTTCCAAGAACTAATTAGATGGTGCCAAATCTATGTTGCAGAAAGTACGCGCGCAAGAGAATGGTACGGTGCTATATGACGTCGCATGCAAGCATGTATAACAGCCGATATTTCAGATTTTAATACCCGTATCTTTTTAATGTTGCCGACTGCTCCAGGTTGCGTCATTGACTACAACACAAATCAATTAGTTGGAACACACTGCCTGCACCCGAAGCAATACAGGGGGTGGGGGGGGGGGAGGTTCCCAACATGAATCCCGGCTTTATTATGAGCGAGAACTGTGTCATGTGACATTTCACTATATCTACACTATTGTTTTCTTCTTTTTTTTTTCCTGTGAGGCGTAACCCTTAGCAAAAAAAGACCGTACTTAAATGCATTTCAAAATGCATTTAATACACGTATTATTTCATATTCTTTTGACCACACTGGAAATGCATTTAAATATACTAAGATATACTCCAGACGTATTAAAAAAATGGCAAAAAAATGTATTTAAATGCATTTAAAATGCACACCTGAAATATATTTAAATATATTTCCCAAATGCATTTTAATGTGTTTTAAATATATTATGTACTTGAAATACATATATTAAACGCATTTAAATGTATTTCCCAAATGCATTTAAATGTGTTCTGGAAATGTATTGGAGCACACTTTACGTAGATATAAAATATATTTAAATATTGCTTCCCAAATGCATTAAAATATATTTAAATATTGCTTCCCAAATGCATTAAAATACATTTTAGCACTACAAAAGGAATATGTTCTATATTAAGCAAATGCACTGAAAAGTGCTCACTCATTGAACTCGGACTCAGGCATAGTAAAGTTTCATAATTTATTTATTCAAATAGACACCACCATAAAACACCTTCTAAAGAAACTGCCATACACTAAGGACTTTGAAGGAGGGACACTGTCTAGAGACTTAACTTCTGAACTGTACTCAAATGATAGGAATGAAATTGGCGGAGATTTAACAAAAGGTGTATGTGTAATGTGAAACCTTTCAGCTCTCTAGGACAATTTAATATACCTGCCTAAAAAGATATGTCACTCTTCATTAAGAAATCTATGATATGCAAATAAAGTTATTAGGGATCATTATCCCTGGTTGAATAGAAAGTGGGGGATGTGGAACTTTGCAGTATCTAGTTTTTATAACTCAACTGTAAATATTTCAGGAAGAGTGATTACCCCAAACTATGAGATGCATGTCAATTTCAATGTCCTATGTCAATTTTTAAAAACAGTTTTATTTCTCAATGAGGACTTCAACTTAAAAAATAATAAACTAGATAACCCAATTCCCCAGTATATTTCACTTCATCTTGATTGTGGTATCAGAATATCTTTACCTTCGAACAAAGGATTCCGAACGTATGAAATTTGTAGCAAAAAGTGGAACCAAGGAAATGCATTCAAACATTGAACTCCTTTACTTGTTGAAAATATCTTATATCAACTTAACTATTTGCATATGGTTATCAAATTTAATGTAAGGGTGGTTCCTAAAACCGAAAACCTCAAACTTGAAAAGTGTGTTTTTTCTAAAATATTTTAAATTTAAGCTTGTGTCCGCCCTTAATATATCCAGAGTTTTCATTTGTCTTCTTTTCCGCACAACCCTCAGGATAGCCAATCACCGCAATTTACAGAAAGAGCTTGGCGAATGATGTGGCCGAAAATATGTTTAGACCTAAAATTGAAGTCCGAGGTGGGACGTTGCACAATGCCAAACATCATGCCCAGTGTCCTGCCACAGACTTCAATTTTATATGTAATCATATTTTCGTCCACCTGATTCACCGAGCTCTCTCTGTGAATCAGAATGAATGACTGTCCTGAGTGTGGTGCAGAAAAGCAAACAAGAGAATACGAGGGCAGTTTTTACAGCACTAAAGAAGAATGGAGGTTCCTTAGTCGCAGGCATCCTCGAACAGTCTGGCCTGGGACCCGCCTCCATTCTTCTTTAGTGCTGACGAAGCATTATTACATTTGCGCCGTAAGTAAGCGCGGACACTTGACTCTGTCTGGTCTGGAAATTTGGCCACCACGTGGGCTAGAAAAGAAGAAAACAAGCAACAAGTTAACAAAAGCAGGCTTTTCAGTTCTTAAAAACACTATGTAGGAGTGTGAAAAATACTGGTTCAAATTGAATAGGTTGCCATCACTTTTCAGGTTCACAGTGCAATAGACGTATTCCAAAACTCTAAGCACCTGGTCTAGGCGTAATGCTACATTATGCATTGTGGGATTTAGTGGGAAGCGAATTCCATACGCACTTGACTACTAGCCCTTAGGATCCCAGAATGCAATACATGAAGTCAGAAATCTATGGAAGTAGTCTATTGAAAGTGCAGACCACTGTTTCTTTTTTAACAAAGTAAAAGCTTGGCATGGCGCTTCGCTGTTTCATTCAAACCACTATTCACACACCCTTAAAGCAATGTGATGAATCAATTGTGCATTTGCCTCTTCTGAATAGTAAAGGGGCCTGCCAAGGGTCATAAATTGTTACACATGCCAGTTATCTAGAACAGGGGTTTTCAAACTTTTTAGTCTCGCGGAGCCCCAGGAAGCCTCAAAAACTGCCGCGGAACCCTCCCCCCCCCCCCCTCTATATTTGCCGACCGAGAAGAAACAGATGCACAATTGTAGGCAATTTTGCTTGAGTTGCTTCCCATATATCCCCATCATATTAATCGCGATGTCAGTACAAAGTGAGATGAAGGCGCTTTGCATAGTCCTGCCGTGCAGCCTGCAGCATCGGGGGAGGGGGGTTGCAATTTGAGTGTTCGCGGAACCCATGAGAACAGCTCGTGGAACCCGTGTGTTCCCCAGAACCCAGTTTGAGAACCCCTGATCTAGAAAATAGACATTAAAGTTTCTTCCTATCTATAAAATGTAAACTTATATGCGACATAGGTCTGGCTCGCGACAAACTGCATTGTGCAGCGTTGGCAGACGCTTCCCGCTCGCCTGGTCGTGGAGTGTGGCTGCGTACGTCTACCTGTGAGCTTTTGAGGCGCACAACACCAGTGCTATGTTGCACCAGCTGCACCGTCAGGAGATTGTGCAGCTTCGTAGGCTGTGATCATGACCTAATACTCTAAGCCTACTTCGCCTCGTTCTTTCCTTCTTCGCCAGCCGCTTGGCTTGCCACCATCCTCAAACTCCCCAAGAAAACTTGTCAAAAACACCAAGTCACCGTATCTCGTTTCATTCTTTCAAGTCCTTCGATAGAGCGACGACTTGGTTAGCGCCACCGAAGACCTCGCTTCGTATGCACCAAAATGTTTGACAACTTGTTCCTGCTGCCAAAAAAGGCTAAAGATTGTGAGATATATAGAAGACATTCACATATACTCTGACCAAGAGGTATGGGCTAGATACGACAAAGTCTCTTATTTCATCACTTTCTGCTTTTGCCATGGCTTGGAAGAGTCAGTCTGTGTTATACGCTTCCTGCAGTTCTGAAGGAACTACAGACAATAGACGATTTGCAACTTTCCCAAGTGCCCCGACCCACGCGCAAGGAATTGTGGGAGAGGCTGTCCCTCGCCTGTCCCCTCTGCCTTGAGATTGCATTGCCTTGTCGCTTGTCTCCTCTTAATCTTCTGTTTTTCGATTCCATTACCTATTTTTATCCATTCCAGTGTACTTTGTATTGCTTCTAAGTGTTTCTATTATCTTCTGCGTGGGATATTTCTTGCATATATATAGTATTTGTGTCTTTATTTTGCCTTTTTCGACGGGAGTGCCGACGGACAACACACCGCTTCTTGCGTCGTTCCCTGGGTGAGTACTACAGTTGTTACTGATTCCTTTCGCGCTGTTAGCTGTTCATTTTGGTTCAATATGACCCGCGTGCAGTCGAGAGGAGCCGTTTATGAACACCTGCACACATGTCATAGGGGTAGGCAGAGCTCTGAATCAACAATCGCGATGCGAGAGCCGAGTGCGCTGTGATTTGGCCGCCCATGCTCACTCCGTTGACTCGCACTGTAGCATATGCCTTCGAGTGCCGCTTACTTGACCAACATACAGCACGCTGCCTTGTTGCAGCGAATCATTTGTCCCAATATCTGCAAAACCGTAACACCGTTCGGCATATCCAACCCTGCGGTGGCTGACAACTGCACGCAGTGGCGCACCGTTGTTAGCACTTGAAAAAGGGTGTTTGCAACTGACAACCGCTTGGCAGATAGATTAAGAAGGGATACCATAAGTGCATACAAGCCGCGACGTTGGGCCACCGGCGCTTGCAAAAGGCTCGCACCGCTGCGCGCAGTTGTCAGGCGCCGCAGTGTTGCATATGCCTCAGCTTCTCAAGCATTCGGACAAATGATCTGTGGCGACAAAGCGGCGTGCTGTATGTTGGTCAAGTAAGCGGCACTCAAAGGCATACGCTACAGTGCGAGTCAACGGAGCAAGCGCGGACGGCCAAAACAAAGTGCACTCGGCTCTCGCGTCGCGATTGTTGATTCAGACCTCTGCCTACCCCGATGACATGTGCGCGGGTGTTCATAAACGGCTCCTCTCGACTGCACGTGGGTCAAATTGAACCAAAATGAACAGCTAACAGCGCGATAGCCGATAGGAATTTGTAGCAACGGTAGTATTCGCCTGGGGAACGACGCGCAAAGCGGTATGTTGACCGTCGGCACTCCAATCGAAAAAGGAAAATAAAGACACAAATACTATATATATGCAAGAAATATTGCGCGCAGAACAGAACAGAAATACTTAGAAGCAATAAAAAATACACTGGAATAGATAAAAATAGGTAATGGAATGGAAAAACAGATTAAGAGGAGGCAAGCGACAAGGCAATGTGATCTCAAGGCAGAGCGGCCAGGCGAGGGACAGTCTCTCCCACAATTCCTAGCGCGCAGATCGCAAAGCAACGACAAAGCAACGACGTGCTTAGTACAAACACCCTCACCGATGATGTCGCTCACAGCGTCCTTGCACAGAACTTCCTTTCCACCCCCTGCCAGGGAGCCCCTCAGACAGCTGTTGGCCAGGGTGTCGTAGCCGAACACCATGGCGGCGAGCTCCTGCGTGTATATGGACGGGGTGGAGCTCAGCCGCCGCAGTCTGTGCTCCGCCAAAATGATGGTGCCAAACCGCATCTGCGATAGAAAGGAAATACATATGACATACGAGGTATGCGTTTCGAAGTTCTCAGTAAAAATATTTTCCTGTAATAGAACTTTTTACTTAAGGGGGACATCAACCTAAATAGTTACATTGATATAAAATATTTTCAACACGTTGTGAGGCAGTAACAAAGTGAAGGAGCTCAATGTTTGAGTGCCTTCTTCTCAGTTCCACTTTTTGCTGCTATTTGATACGAAGGAATCTTTTGTTCGAAGGTAAAAGTATTCTGATACCACAATCAAGATGAACTGAAATATACTGGGGATTCAGGTTATCTACTTCATTTTGTTTTAAGTTAAAGTCCTCATAGAGAAAAAATTATGTTTTCAAAAATTTACATAGACATATATGCATCTAATTTTCTTAAGTAATAACTCTTCCTGAAATATTTACATTTGAGTTTGAAAGACTAGATAGCTTGAAGTACCACATCCCCCACTTTACATTCAAGCAATCAAAACGGTGCTCAATAGCTTCATTTGCATATCATAGATTTCTTAACGAAAAGTGGCACATCTTATGCAGATACTTAAAATTGTCGTAAAGAGCTAAAAGTTTGCACAATCCACCTACATCTTATGTTAAATCTCCCCTGCAAAGTTCATTTCAATCACTTGAAGGCTTTGTTCCCTTTTCGCTCAGCGGACTATTTAGCTTAGAGATAAATATAGAAGTTACATATATTTCAGTCCTGCGGGGCCGAGCCCCAAAGTCGTAATTATTGTTATTGGGATTCTCACGGATTAAAATACGCTTTTGCACAGTCCCCTGAAAGTCCAATAATCGGGGTTCCACTATATTTCTAAGCTAATAGCCCGTTAGACGAAAAGGAAACAAAGCCTTTAAATAAATCAAAGGAAAAGAAAAGCATGGTGGGGTAAAGGCACTGATAAAATTGTATTGGCACTTTACCAAATTTTAAAAAAAAAGTGATTATTAATTTGCATTCTTCAGAAACAAATGAGCAACGCCCTCTTGGACATACGCAAACTTCCGAATGCCATCAAACATGAAATTTCCACATGTCAACACACGCAGCTCAGAGCCCGCGACACTCATCTTTGTCCTAAGTATCGGGATCGGGTAGTTCCCATTTTGACGACTTCATTGAACGACACTGTGTCGCAGAAGGCGATGATGTATTTGGCAATTGACGTGGTACACAAGTCATGATGAGGCCATCTGGTCAAGGCCCTCCGCCATTTAGGAGCATGTAAACTTCTGCAGAGCACGTGGAACTTATAGGCAGAGTATACAACCGAAACTCTATGCCTTTTTCGCTTCCTAAATGCTCGGCACGACCCGGCAAGCGAGATCACATGGGACGACAGAACGCAAATGGAGCAGCACGACTGAGCGAAGAAAGAATGAATGCTCAGAGAGGAGCGCGAGAGCAAAGCGGGACATGTCGCGGGAAAGCAAAAAAACGTGCTATTGTTAAAAGAAAGTGGAGTACGGAAAACAAAGAAAAGCAACAACGCCAGCAAAGGAGATGGAATGAAGAGAGCCGCGGTGACCGATAGAACAGTTTTTCGGGGAAGGAGGAGGAAGCCGACGCAGCATGCAGAGTTTTGTTTTCAAATTTGGTCTGTTTTTCCCAACAAAACAATGCAAAGCAAAAAGAAAAAAAAAAAAGAAAGGATGGTCGCAGTAGATGTACGACATGGGATTGGTGTTTTGCACGTCGTGCAATCCAAACCTTTAATGCATTGTTTCTAAAGGGAGTTCGCCAGGACCGCGCCAAGTCGTGATCTGAGGCAAGTCCCAAAGCTTGTTAACATCGAAGCTTGGGCTAGTTGGTTTTCCATAATTTGTACTTCACAGTGCATAAACGTCCCACAATAGCAAGCACTCACTCAATCAGAGACAAAAACATACACACAGCGCACAAAGTCCCAAAAAATGTGGTGTGTGCATGAACCCGATTTTCTTTTCTCTATCATAAAGATCACATTTTTTTCCAATACAGCAATCCAGTTATCAACCTATTTTATATCCCATTTCGCTGTTACAAAATATTTGCGTTAAATATTATCCTGCATAATGTGCTCCAAATTCGTATAGTTTTTTTTTCAGAAAAAAAATGTGCATTCATTAGGTAAGTAAATACTCCATCTAGACTTACAGGAGGGCCTACATCCTCGGGTACCCCAGCATTCACAACCGCAGGAGCGGCCTCCAACCTTGACTGCATGGCCTCTAAGAGTCCTGGCATCCCTGTAGAACGAAAGAATAGCATTAATTGAAGCGAATATCCTAGCCCTGTGCTGTGTTGATACCAGAGCAGTGTACCGCTGCAGGGTGTCTACCAGCAGAGGAAAGCTTGAATTGTCAATGATTAAGGCCAGCAAATCGTCAGGGAAAGTGTAAAAAAGCTGGCCAAGTCTGACAACATTGAACAGTAAATATAATGCCGCAGTGCGCAGCCATGCTGGATAGTGCATTGGAGAAGCCGTGTTGGCTAAATCCGCTACAAATGTTGCTAGGCGGTAAAAGTCACAACCCGTATAAACAAAAGAGCCGCTGTAGCTTCATGCTCTAGCAAGCACAATAAGCATAACCGGCAATTCATTCATCAAGCTCAGGCTTTCTTGTTGAAGAAAGTGCTTTTAATGGGGACTGAATCAGCCTGTATATTTCTGAAAAAGGAAGTTGGACTAGGCCTGTGAAAACAGCTCAAATTGCACCATGCTCAAAGAATTTCCCATTTGGCCACATAAACAAACTCAATAACTGGTTTTAAATTATCTAAGCATCAGTGGCACAGCATGTGCTCTTTGTGTGAAAAAGAGACATAAGCATAAATAAAAAAAAAAAATTTTTAAATCATTTTTCAAATTTGAGGTTTTTGGTTTTAGAAACTAATCATACACCCTTACACTAAATTCAATAACCATATGCCAAATAGTTAGGTTGATATAAAATATTTGTAACGCATTGTGACACAGTAACAAAGTAAAGGAGTTAAATGTTTGAATGCATTTTTCTCAGTTCCACTTTTTGCAGCGAATTTCATACGAAGGAATCTTTTGCTCAAAGGTAAAAGTATTCTGATACCACAATCAAGATGAACTGAAATATACTGGGGAATTGGGTTATCTACTTTAATATTCTTTAAGTTGAAGTTCTCGTTCAGAAAAAAAAAAACTGTTTTCGAAAAATTGAAATAGGACAGATGTGCATCTCATATTTTGAGGAAATAACTCTTCCTGAAATATTTACATTTGAGTTATAAAAAATAGATAGCCCGAAGTCCCACATCCCACACTTTATATTCAGGCGGTTAAAATGGTGCTTAATAGCTTCATTTGGATATCATAGATTTCTTAACAAAAAGTGACACATCTTATGCAGGTAAAACTGTCCTAGAGAGCTGAAAGTTTGCACAATAGACATACATCTGATGTTAAATCTCCCCTGCAAATTTCATTCCAACCACTTGAATAGTTCAGAAGTTAAATCTCTAGCCAGTGCCCCTCATTAATCCCAGCTTGTGGATTAAATAGCAGCCTATAACACATCAAATCATATGGTTGCTTATGCTGGTAAAAAGCTAAAAAGGCTTTTACTTATTCTGCAAATCGCTAATTCATCAAGAGACAAACTAATGCATGTCACATATTTTCGGTATCTGGGGCTTATTTTAAGAGGAGGTCAAAGAGCCAGAAAAACCCTTTCATGGCACACTTTATACGTAGAAATGCATAGTGCACACTTTAAATTTAGAACTGCTCAAAAATTAAGTTCCTTGGACTTAATTGGTAAAACCTTATTACTGTAAAAAAAAAAAAAAAAAAACTGGGCATTTGAAACAGGCCAGGCCGAGGCACTGAGTCTCCCGGTGACTGGACTGTCAATTTAAAGAGGAAGGGGCCAGTTTTTTACTTCACATCCTACACTTATACTGATTCATACCTTCAAGTAGAGGGCACAGTGTGTCTACAACAAACAACACCCTTGCTTCTGCCGCCCCAGTTCTCGCTTCCGCCTCGGCGACCTTGGCCTTGGCCTCAGCCACCTCGACCTTCGCCTTGGCCACCTCGGCCTCAGCGTTCGCCACCTTGGTTGCAGCTATGGCTGCCCTCGCCTCGGCCTCAGCTGCCCTCGCCTCGGCCTTGGCGGCCCTGGCTTCGGCTTCCTTGGTTGCTGCCTTCGCGGCGACGGCTTCTGTCTCGGTGCCCGGAAGGTCAGCAACGACGGAGGACGGATCCTGCGCGTGCAGTGCAACGGTCCCCTGGGTAGCAGAGATTGTTTTAATAAGCGTTCAAGACACGAAAGACCTTACTAAGTCTTCCTTGAACTATGCTGGTGAAAGGATCATACTGATTATTTTAGCAACACCTTCTTTTGACCCAGCAGCCTCTCGGCAAACAAAACCTAAGTAACCTCATCCATGCACAGTTGGCTCAAGTAACTACTCCAACTGAACTTAATCAAAGTCCGGTAAAAGTGGTCTATTACCTCTTGAGCAAGCTCCAACCTGATTCGCTGCAGGATCCGGTCCTCAATCGTCGCTGCCTTCCGTTTACCAGCTTTCTAAGGTGCAAAGAGAAATACAGTAAGAACTCGATGTTATGAAAACCCATTTCAGAAACTGCCTAATTTAACAAGCAAGTTCTGATTTCCTGCAGATAACCACAGCATTGATTGATTATATGAAGTCAGAATAACTAAATCTATATAAACATCCTATCAATCAGTGAAGTGTATTTTGTGTAAAATATTATGCAACCAGAAATGTCAGTGCATTCTAGTTGGTTATTAACAGAACAACATACTCAGCATTGCCAGTCTTGAATCAATTACGCTTAGATCTACAGCAGCAATTTTTTCACGTTGCATTTGACAAAAGTCAATGATATGGTTTGCCTCTAACCCCTACGGTAACAGGCTTTTTAGTTAGCAAATAAATGTGTCGTTCCATGGAAAGCTTTTCTTCTTTTTTCTTTATGCACTAATGGTGCAGGTGTCTTCACAATATTCAGACTTCATAGAAGCATTGGACACACTTTTGGTACCCGCACAGCTCTAAGTATAATGCCATAGACTTTGGACACGGCATAAAATGAAAGGCAGGTGCAAGAGAACTCTTATACACCTTTAATGCACCTGTTGAGAAAAACAAAAAAAAAAGACATTTACCTTGACTGGTGGTTTTGCTGCGCCGTGGTCCTCAGTTTCGTTTTCCAAGAGCATCCTATCAAGGATGATATCCAGGTCGCTGCGCACCGCTAATAAGAATAAACACATATTAAAGGCTACTCCCAACCCGAAAAAACCTAATCCTATCTATACATGGCATCGACACATCTTTCAAATTACCATTCATGTACCACGGTTCAACAGTTCCTACTGCGTGCGCAAGGGATAAGTTTGAGGTGCTCTCTGCGCCGCTCCACAGTTCTGGCCGTCTGCTACCAAAAACGCGGGACCAGGGGACCACCGTCACGACGGATGGGGGTGCCACGCAGTCCTATGTTCATAGGATGCTATTTTATGGTTGCATTATCAGATCAGTTGTTTTACTTGCATCTCGCATATATCCAGTGTAGTAGGACTGTCACGTTCCGTTTAACCTTCCGGTAGACCGCAGCGGATGCTATGAGCCGTTGAAGCCAATCCCACGCCTCGTGAATGTCACGTGACCTTCGAAGGACACGGCAACACATGGGGTGCATAGCAATGCGATATATTCGTAGGGCTGGATTCACTGGGATAGCTTGTAGCATCTGCCACGACTCATTGGAAGGTGTAACGAGGTATAGCCCGAGGACTTTAACATATATGACACCGCAAGGATACACTGCCGCACACCGGCATGATGTCAGTTCAAATTGAAACTAGCAAAGCAGTGATTGAACCCAGATAGTCTGGGCACATCAGCACAACCCTTCGTTTTAGGACCGTAGAGGCTATAAATGATGCAACACAAACCTATTGCAGGCTTTCTGGAAACAAGCTCTGCAGTACACCAAAACTAGAACCCTCACTAGTCGCATCCTGTGCACAGAGGAATACATGACACCCTGATGCACCTTGATGGCGGTCTCGTGGACACACAATTTTTGGTAGCAGACAGCCAGAACTGTGAAGCAGTGCAACAAGCTTAAGGGGTATTTACCTCAGCCTTAGCGTGCATGAGTGAGTGTTTGCGGAGCAATGCGATGGGCGGCGCTAACGTACCGCGTAGCACACATCATGCCATTTCGGCTCATATTGGACGCTTTAGTACACTCCAAAACATTGTGCATGCATGGTGCAGCAGGCATGTTCTTCCAGAGTGTGTGATGTTTTGGAATGCACCTGCTATGTAGACATTGAGAAGACAAAATAACAAAAAAAAACCTTCTACACAAATCATGTTATCTCCACAGTTAGTTTGAAGAACACACTTTATGTTTCTCTGCCTTTCGGCGGAACTAAGGTAGTGTTAGTACTTGCGTTTTTGCTTTCTTGAGACATGCTCACATCACAGGCGCAAGTCGCACAGAATCTAAACTTTTCAGCTTTTTCCAACTTGACGAAGCATGAAAACTCGGTTGTGTGCAGCTTCAAAAATACTTGCAAGCATCCTTGACTTTAGCAAGTGCCCTGATTAAAACTCAATGAGGGAACAAAACAAAAGCCCCAACACATTCTGAAAGTTTGACCATCGACACTTCATTCGATCTGGCTGACCCACAATCATATGGGCAGTGTTCTGAAATATGCTCAATCTCGCTTCACAGTATAGGCTTCATACCTTGTGACTAGAAAATCTTGCAATGTTTTGCGTAACAGCTCTGAGATGCCACATGACAACCTGTCGAAGTATATTGAGATCAGACCATGACGCCCCAAGCGGTTAACTTTAGAACTACACAGATGGGGACAACAAATACAATGACCCAGCGTTCGGCTGAAGTTTGTGTTCTCCGGTGAAGGGGAGGACGGGCTCGTTTGTTACCACTCCGGGCTGCATGAACAACGCAGCATGCACGATGCCCAGGTCCCCAGCTCAGCGTAAAAGCCGAAGTGGGTCAAGCTCGCATTCTCTGACGACTGCATTCGCGAGATATCCGGCACTTAACGTCAGTTCGTTTATTGTTAGTATTTTTACATTACACCGTGCCCCACGCTCCATTGAAGAAGGTGACACGGACATGCCCATAAGGCCTGCGCGCATGTGCACAGGCCTTGTGTTGAGTGAACACCGAGAGAGGAGACAACAAACGGGCCAGAGCGTCCCCTCACAGTTCGATCTCTTGCCCAATAGACTGAGTAAACTATGAAGTAACTCCGGTCTACACAAGCGAGCTAATGATATATAGCAACACATCTAAAAAACGCTTCAAAGCTTTATTTCTTTTTTAGTTTAACTTTAATTTTCGCAGCTTCGTTTGATTGACGGGTGGATGGATGAACTGATGGACAGTACGGACAGGTTTCCCCGCTTTTGTCTTGCTTTTTTTTTTCAAGTGTAACTCTGAAGCGTGTGAATTCGCAAAGGCAAATGAATACAACAAAGTCGGATGTACGCTAAAAAAGAATTGGTCAGATGTTCCTGACCTACACTTCAGTGAGATATGTCGGTTGGTGCATTCTACATATATGTAAAGCTAAAGACCGGTGGCAATCTGTTCGTCAAACAATGTTTTATCAATACGAGACACTTTGCCTAAAGTTTGTTTCATTGAAAGTCTTTCCGTCTTTATTTCGTCGACACACCATGCAACGTTTCGTCGAACACAACATTGTGTTTTCCCAACAATTTTTTTTGTTTGCATCTCGTCTGGTTTATAGGGCAAGAGAAAGGAGGGTCTCGAAGGATTGGTAAACATGTTTCAGTGAATCACACACTAGCCTTTAACAACTTCCAGATCTGATTTTAAAAATGGTTGTTGTCAACGAAATGTTGCAGGAGCTGCTGTGTCGAGGAACATTGCAGTTTCAACGAAACATATGTCCATAAAAAGATGACCACGAGCGACAAAACGATGGGGACCCCCAACATGCGAAGATCATAAATCATGAATTGGCCCCCTTAAAGGCCGACGACCAGACTCAAGATTCTGCAAGGCAGAAGACCCTCCTCTCCACGCCTTCGGGCGAGGGAAGCGAAGGATGGAAAGAAGGGACCAAGAGGGGCGGGCGTGGGTGGAAAGGGTAGGAGGGAGAGGAGGAAGCGGGCGAAAAGTGGAAAGCGCGAACTGGTCGTCGGTCTTTAAGTTCGGTTCCCACATGCTGTGGAATGCCGATACACCGCTGTTCCCGTGTCGTCAGCTGTTTACTATCTGCCATCGGAAACATTTGACAGTGCCATACAAACCGGCGAACGCTCCTGTCAGCATGAGCTTGGCGCAGTGTCAGTGCAGTGTTTATAAACAATTGCTAGCGCACGACGACTGGCCGCTCAATTGCAAACTTGCTAAAGCCAAGTTTGCGCGCAAGCTGCATGTGCTTGCACACATGGAGCACCAGTTGGCGAGTCATGCTTGCAATTGTCTTTAGCGCAGTGATATATGTCAGCAGGCCTTTAAAGGGATGCTGAACCAATCAGTTCAGTGTCTATAATAAGTGGGGCACGATCCTTCCACAAGCCAGCAGCCCCCGCTGTGCGCGAGCACACGCAACGAAATTGACGTCCTAGTCCCCCATTCACGCTTAAGATGACAGTGAAATGTGTGGGCTCCAGGGAAAAGGAGAATAAAGACAAGCTTTTCATCTCCAGTGAGTCTGGTGTAAATGGTAAGCGATTAATTGATCTAACAACCACGCAGCTTGCACTCGTAGAGATGGAAAGCCTGTCTTTATTCTCCTTTGGCCAGAAGCCGATACATTTCACTGTCATCTTAAGCGCGAACGGGGGACTATGATGTCAATTTCGGTGCGTGTACTCGCGCACATCGGAGGCTGCTGGCTTGTGAAAAGAACGTGCGCCACTTATTATGGACACTAAATTGTTTGGTTCAGTATTCCTTTAAGCCGAATATGAAGCGAAGGCTACAGGCACGAGGCCGTTGCAGCTTGGATAAAGTTTTAGCTGACAAAGCGCTCGCGCTAGAAATGCCCGTTTCAGTGCACGGCGCACGCGCTAGCACGGGTTCGTAGCCTTCGCTGTAATATCTACATTCCAAAGTTAACTTGAAATCCATACTTACGGCTGAACTTCACGATCTGAGCTGCCAGCAGCTTCGTTGTCCCTGTAGCCCGTTTGTTCTTGTCTTCGTTCGGCCAGTTCACTTTTACCCAATTGTTCTTCTGGGTTGGCCCGGTGTAAGTGGGCCACGTTTTTTAATTGTGCTTCACTACTGGGTCGAAGTTTTGAATGAGTTTTACTGACTCAACTGAAAGGCTCTCGTCCGGAAACCTGTACAGGGCGAACTTGTCCATCGTAACGCGGACACTTCGAAGTTCGAACGTCCCAAACGAAAAACGAACGCAACAGAGGTAGACAAAAGACCCACAACCAGAGATTGTGGATTGATGTGGATTGGATTGGCTCTTAACGTTAGCCACGACCCAACGTTGCCATCAACCCAACCAAGATTGTTGTTGGTTGGGCGTTGGGCTCCATCCGACTTATTTGCGTTAAAAATCGTAAAATTTGTTATGGGTCAACATTTTTTGCTTATAACGATTTATAAAAATAGACTCTTCTTGTCTTCAGTGTTTATTCTTTCTGTGTTTTCTTTTTTTCAAGTACCTACAGTCGCCTTGCTGTTTACGACGATAAACATACGATAAAAAATAACTCATACTACTACAAATCTCTGCGAAGCGTAGCGTAGCACAGTTTCCAGACGCTCACAGCCTTCCTGAAGTACAAGGAAGGCCACCAAACAATTGTTTCAGCAACGTGGGAAGAAAGACAGGTGCACAAAATAGGGTTGCTGCCAACTCGACAGACATTTAGTAATAATAACACGTGATTTGTACTCAGTAGGGATTACCCAGGTGCACGTGAAATATGTACCGCGCAAGATATAACTTGGTCCATGAAGTTCGGTTGAATGCCGTTTTAGCGAATGAGTCTCCAGGGGCTATGTTGCACGTTTTGGAGACTATGGGGAAGGAAGTGACGTCGTCAACAACGCTCTTTGGATGTTGATTGGTGGAGTCGCTGATGACGCGTTGCGTGGTGCTGCTATACTTCGTTTCAGCTTCGGTCCAGA